TTATTAGCATGCACAATATTTCGGGGAACACAATACCACCAGAGAACAGAAAGGATGTAAAAAATCAGAGAAAAAGAAAAAGGAAAAGAGTATTATAAAATGCTGCCATAAAGTCCCATCTGTCCCTGGGGATTGACAGTTAATGAATCTTGGAAGAGAGGGAGAGATTTTTTTCCCCCTATGGAAAGATGCCCATGCCCCTGTAAGCCACTCTAATTTAAACCCATTGGGTCAGGAAAGTGGAATTGGTAGAGCAAAGAGATCAGCAGGAAGGGAAGTGGACAACAGAGTAATGTGTGTGTGTGTGTGTGTGTGTGTGTGTGTGTGTGTGTGTGTGTGTGTGTGAATATGATCAAAATACATTATCTACACATATAGAAAATTAAAAATGAAACTCAACTTTATGCCTAGTTAATATATGCTATTAAAAACATTTAAAAAGGTAAAAGTGGGGCTGGAGAGAGAGCTCAGCAGTTAAAAAGCACTGGCTGCTCTTCCAGATACCCTGGGTTCAATTATCAACACCCACACAGACTGATCATAACCTCTGTAACTCTAACTCCAGGGCATCCAATACCCTCTTCTGGCTTCCAAGGGCACTGCATACATATGGTGCACAGACACACATCCAGGCAAAACACCTATACACAAAAAATAAAAACAAAAAAATTAGAAGATATTTAAAAATCTTGGCATATATAAGTTCATGCAGTGTTTTCTCTTTGATAGCAGAGTCTACAGGGACAATGACCCACTCACAAGTTTAGAGTTTAAATCTGACCAGTTCAAACCAACAATGGTAAAATCATTCCTTTTCTAGAACCGGCTGCTGAGTCATGGCCATGTAATAGGCTCCATATTTGGGCTAGGTAAACTAAAATATATTTATTGTTCATTTATAGTCCATATTAATGGGAACAGTGTACATGGTGTCACACAGGATGGGAACAGTGTGCATAGTGTCACACAAGAATGGGAACAGTGTGCATGGTGTCACATAAGGATGGGAACAGTGTGCATGGTGTCACACAAGGATAGTGGAGACAGGAAAAGCAAGGTCAGCCTCAGCTACACAGTGAGTTTGAGGACAGTTTTGTTTTGTTTTTTCAAAAAATGGAACAAAACCTAGTTAAGGAGCATCCCTTATTTACTTGATGAATATGGCATCACACACCATTACATATTAGCTGCTAGGTCTGAAAATATAATTGTTGAAAGAAAATGATAGCCTAGATGTTTAGTGGAACAACAGATATTTGGTGAGAAAATGGGGAGGAGGTAAATTTATTCAAATTGAACATCACACAGAGGGGCTGCATCAGAATACAGTGAGAAAAAGAAAATTACAGAAAATAGAAAAAATAATTTAAACCAAGAAAGGTGACACATGCCTTCAATCCTAGCACTCAGAAAGCCAAGTCCAAGGTTAGCCCAGGCTACATAGTGCATATGAGGCCAGCATGGGCTATATAGTGAGACACTATCTCAAAAACAGAAATTAAATAAACAGACAGAAGAGATGGCTTAGCAGTTAAGAGCACTGGCTGCTCTTCAACTGACCTGGGTCCAATTTCCAGCACCCACATGGCGGATCATAACAGTCTCTAGCTCCAATTCCAGGGGATCCAACGCCACCTTTTGGCCTCTGTGGGTACTGCACATTGTACATGCACATGTAGGCAAAACTTAGATAAATATAAAAATATATAAATCTTAAAAAATAAAGACCCCCCCCCAAAAAAAGATAAAAGAGTGCTGGAGGTACATCTCAGTTTGTAGGTTGCTTGCCTGGCATGCATGAATCCCTGGATTCTATCCTCATGCCTGCATAAACCAGAGAAGTTGGAATACACCTGTAATTTCAGCACAAGAGGTAGGGGCAAAAATAAGCCAGGAAACATTTGATAGCTGACCCTCTTGTTGGAGGCACTCATTTGTATCATTTGATAATTGATTTTTTAAAAAAATCTCTTGTGTTATGTATTTATATTTGTTCATTAATTTTTTATGGAGGTTTGGAGCAGAAGGGATAGAAAAATGAACTCAAGTCTGGGTAATCCTGTTACATACATATTCAAGTACCCCTCACCCATCAGGGGACTCTACAGCCACCCAAACATGAAACAAGAACAAGGGATCAATTTTCCCCCTTTATTTAGTTATTTAGTTAGTTTTGAAGAAGGTCTCATATAGCCCAGGCTAGCACCAAACTCACTATGTAGAGGAGGATAACCTTGAATTTCTAATACTCCTGTCTCTACCTCCCAAGTGCTGAGATTATAGGGGTTCCTCAACATACCTGATCTTACACAGTGCTGGGCATCAAACCAAGAGCTTCAAGCACACTAGATGATCACTTAAGCAACTAGACTACATACCCAGCCCAAACAAAAGTTTCTAAAACGGATCATAATGAAGTCAAGGATTCATAATCCACAACACGAACTGGGGCCTGTCCCATGCTTACTTATCAGTCCAAGATTACCTGATATGGCCAGTCAAGGAATTAAACCAGGCTGGTTTGAGGGGACATGACGAGACCTAGGTGGTGACAATTTTATTGATATCAATCAGACTTTTTTTTTTTAAATACCCTTATCAGAAACAGAATAGAGTGGCAATTGCCAGGATCAATACAGTTGTAGTTGCCAGGAGACAATGACTTTTGCAAGCTATGCAAGGTACACAAGATTAATGCCCAAGACCAATTGTCCTGTCAGGCGTCCATGTTTCCTTGACTTCCAAGAAAACATACAGAGAAACACAAAGTGCCCTGAATGCTTCACCGCCTGAGGGAGTGCATCAGTCTCTCAGGAACTGGAAGGAACACTATACGCCGGAAGCCAGACTGTAACCTGAAAAACCTATGACGCATGCCTCCCAAGGTAGCTAGGCCAGGCCAATTCCATGTTTCCCTGCAGTGGCCATTGCTGTTTCTGCAGTTAGAAAGACAAAGAATGACTCTCCCAAGAAGGTACAGCAGGAGTCAGATGGAAACAGTTGGTATCCTGGGGTCATCTCAATGGACTATTGCACAGGGTTATGGGAGGGGTGGGGAGGGTTGCAGAGGGCCTTGGCAGCTCTGGGTTGCTGATTCTGCCCAGGGTGGGCAGGAAATGATCAGGGCAGGATTGGAGTTCTGTGTAAGTTTTGGAGGGAAAGTGGAGTTAAGTTTGCAAGAAATGAATTACTGTAGCCCTGGGTCACCAAATTAGGAGATGAGATTTTGGATGGTGGAGGTGGTGTCATTAGATTAGTGTCAAAGAACTTATTAAGAGACAGAATCACAAACAACTTTAAAGAATTTGTTGCTGATGGTGGCTGTTTTAAGGATCTTAATTGGCTTCTACTTACCATTCTAGAATCAGGCAACAGGTGACCCCTTATTTTATGTAGCAGAATGAATGCTTCCAGGAGATGAAATTTGTAGACAGACAAGAACAAGTAAAATAGAAACAAAAGGTAGGCAAGCTTTTTTTTTTTTTTTTTTTTTTTTTTTTTTTTTTTTTTTTTTTTTTTTTTTTTTTTGGTTTTCCAAGATAAGAGTTTCTCTGTGTAGCTTTGCACCTTTCCTGGAACTCGATTTGGAGACCAGGCTAGCCTCGAACTCACAGAGATCCGCCTGCCTCTGCCTCCCCCGAGTGCTGGGATTAAAGGCGTGTGCCACCACTGCCCAGGCGGCTAAGTTCATTTGTAACTTTTCTTAAAATAAATGTGGCTTTATTTTTTTTAAACAACTTAAGTTCATAATATTAACTGCAGTTTTGCTTGTTTGGCTTTAAACAGTAGCGACCCTTCTACTTTCCAGGAAAAGGTGGACCACTTAAACTTACAAAATGGTGTGGTGTGCAAACACTCATTTGGTGAGGATTGAAGCGGGCCAGGGTGGGGAGGAGGAGGGAGGTGGGGGGGGTACTTTTTTGTGTACAGATTCTAATTTGACCCTTTGTGGCGGGTGGGATATCCTTTACCTCAGTTAAAAATCTTTTCTGGAGAGTTCTCCGCATCTGAAGTGTGAGGAGGAGTCACATCAGAATCTCAGAAGGCTGTATAAGTGAGGGTACATCACATACCAGAGAAAAGCATATGGACATGCATGTCCCTAGTGAGCAGTGCAGTTGGCCACCATAGTGTCTGCTCCAGACACTTCTGCTCTGTCACCTTGTTTTTAAATTTACTTCCAATTTTATTTTCTCTATTTGAACTAATCATATTTGAGATGAAAAGTATTCCCTGATCATAGTGTTTTTCTCTATTACTCCATTCAAGACATATAACTAATGATTCAAATTGCTAACCCAACTTTTCATTTTGTTGTTTTGGTTTTTAATACAATCAAAACTCTCTTCTTGGACCATTCTATAGTGGTGTTCATTTAGGTAGGCCTCAGAGATTTCACAAAAGATCAACCACACTGGAGTATTCAATGCATGGACTCCAGGAATAAAATTGCACACTTGACATTGTTATTCATCATTTTTTGCTGATTCATAAGGCAAGCGCACCCTCCAGCAGCATTTTGTCACACAGCCAAATCTGAAAAGATCTTCAAACAGAACGCCCACTTGTGTAACAGCATATATAGGGCAGCAGCAGATGAGACAGCCCATGTCCACTTCCAGGTTTCAGAGGCTGTGTAAGACCCATCTTCAGAGGTGAGAGCTTCTCTGTCTGTGCCCAACTTTGTAGCTGGTATTTCAGAACTTTGCTATCAGTGCTGTATTTATCTCTCTAACCCAAGCACTCTTGTCTCCTGGCTTCCTTAGCATAGTAAACCTTCTATTAGGCTGGACAGTGGTGATGCACATATTCAATCCCAGCAATTGAGAGGCAGAGGCAGGCAGATGTCGGGTTCGAGGCCAGCCTGGTCTACACAGTGTGTTCCATGACAGCCAAGGTTACATGGAGAAACCTTGTCTCAAAAAACCAAAGAGGGGAAAAATCATCTTCTACTAGGAGTTGAGTTGCATTAGTGCCTGTTGGAATATTTGTGTATTTTGCAGTACTGGAGACTGGTCCCAGGACCTTGCTCATGTTAAACAACTGTTCTACCACTGAACTATATCCCCATTCTCAGTGCTTTTGATTTCTCCAATCCTATATATTCCCTGACTTCTTTTGGGAACAAGGCAAGTATCGTATGAAAAATAATGAATTAAAGGAAGACACAGACATGGCACACCAATTGGTGATTAAATACCAAATGATCAGCCATGAAAACATACATACAACTAATATTATATGGACTGAGCAGATTATATTTAAGAATATATATGTATATACATATGCATATATTCATACAATAATAATGAAAAATAGGCCATGAAATTGAAATATTTCTCCTTTCCCTTTTCTCACTCCAAACCTTCCCATACTAATCATATTATAATCTCAAAAATAAAAAGTAAAAAAAAATTTTCCATTTTGCAGGAGTCCACAGGTGAGACTTTGAATATTGAAAGAGACAGGAGTTTTAGAGAGACTTTGGAGTTCACAGAGGTATTTTGAATATTTTTAAGAGACTGAATTTTTAACGTATTTGAGTTTTTAAAATTTTTAAAAGCTGGAATGTGCTTTATTGTGATATTTATATCAATGTGACATCTTGGGGACAAAGAAGAAAGAAAAGATTGTGCCAAGTTGACAAGGAGTCAACTGCTCTGGTTGGTTTTGTCACAAACTACAATCATTCTTAAAGAGGGACCCTCAACTGAGAAAATGCCTCTGTAAGATTGGACAGGACAGGCCAGGTTCATCATTGGCTTTATCTCAGAAGGCTGTTCCTTCAACACAGGGATTTAAAAACCATTAGGGAATAAAACTCAGACTTGTGAGCATGCTTCCAGTTGCCAGGAGCTCACTGTCTGTCTGATAATTAAAACCTTCATGCTTCTCCACACAACCACTACACTTCAATTTTTGTGCAACTTCTGTCATGGGTATTGGAGGCACTTACCTGCCTCTCTTCCCTTCTGCTGTTAATAGGAAACAGAGTACATTGGTGTTCACAGAAATGTTCCAGGCAAGCAAAACACACCTTGATGAACTCCAGATAAAACGTTTGGAGGAGATGTGCATTGTCATTGACAAGCAGGATCAGATCATTGGAGCTGAAACCAAGAAGAACTGCCACCTGATGGAAAACATTGAGAAGGGTGAGCTGGAAAGAGGATGCCTTGAGCATCCAGGCCTGATGCCATCACTCTCTGAACCAGGCAGTGGGGAGGCAAGTGTCCAAAGTGTACCACTGCTTCAGTGGGTTGGGTAACACAGACTGGGATTGCTGCCTTGAAATGGGCTGGGAGTCAGGAATTGCAGCCAAGCTGGGTGTGGTTGTGAACACCTTTAATCCCAGTACAGAGGCAGAGGCAAGTGTATCTCTGTGAATTCAAGGCCAGCCTGTTCCTAGCCTGTCTATATAGTGATACCTAGACTCCAGGAAAGGGAATGGGGGAGGCACTTCATTGTGAGCACTCTCAGTGCCTCATGTGTCACAACGTCCAGGACATAAGCAGTCACTCTTTGTCACCGGGTCATCCATACTCCTGCACAGGGTGGCAAAAGTAACTACAATTGTTTCCAGACCATAGGTTTAGAAGCACAGTAGGGTCTAAGACTTAGAATTGTGCTAGCTAGCATGGCTTACTTTACTTCTTGGCCCTTTAGTTTTTATGTTTACAAGTGGAGGAAAACTGCAGTACTTACTTGCAGTATTACTGTGGGTAAATGAATACTGAATTATCACCAAATGCTAAGCAACTGGTATAGATTCTATCCCAGTCATGAGCACCAGCGACTCTCGGTGCCACCATCCTGAGCTGGATGAGAATGAAAAACAAGAGAAGGGAATGCTTATGCAGGCTCCATGTTGACTTAAGTGTGGCCCTAACTCATGCACAAACCATTTGCAGGCCTGCTACACCGAGGCTTCAGTGTCGTCCTCTTCAACACAAAAAACCAGCTCTTGGTCCAGCAGAGAGCGGATGCCAAGTACACGTTTCCCGGTGAGCCACCCAGGTGAAATCCAGGGAGCACCAGATTCTAACTTAGGGTTTGGGAGACTGAGAGAAATGACTAATAAGCAAACCTATCAGAGCATTCATATTCTCTTTCCCTCCTCCATCCCTCTCTGAGCTCATCAGTCCCACTCCAAATGAAGATACAAGGATATTAAATTACAGGCATTTTGTAACTGGAATTGAATTGTGGTATTTTATATTCTAATATGTCTAGTAGAACTGATAAGTCAGAGTTGGATCTACTTTATATACTAAATATGGCCAGGAAGGAAACTGCCCCCTATTTAGTAAAAGGGCATTCTCAATAAAGAAGCATGTACATTTTCCCCCAGGACATTTTACAGACTCATGTTCTAGTCACCCTTTATACATGCCGGATGAGCTGGAAGAGAAAGATGCTCTGGGAGTGAGGAGGGCAGCCCTGAGACGTCTGCAGGCTGAGCTGGGCATCCCCCAGGAGCAGGTACTCACTCACTCCAATATGGGGCTCCATGAAGCTTTTCATGTGCTCAGGGATCTATGTGTTTGATAGTTACAGTGTCACATGACAGTACTGTCAATTTCATCCATCAAAATGTTAGCACTTAGGGGTGGCTGCTGGGCTAACATGGCTTCTCTTCTGCCTTGTATAGGAAATAGTTTTCCTGTGGAAGTGCCTCAAGTCTGGTCCACAAGGCAGGCTGTGAAACAAATCACTGTACTGGAGCTCAAGTGTTTCTCATTTCCATTTTCAAAAGAAATCTTTCACACTGCTGTATGTCCTAATTCACAGATCTGTGTTTAGCCTCATGTCCTGTATACATGTGGTCTTCATTGTGAATGAAAAATGAAAACACCATGGCCAGGAATTGTGCCCCTTTGATATGGTCTACCTAATACCTACTTAAAGCTCAAATGCTTGTGTGGCACTCTGTGAAAAGGAATGAACTGTTTTCTATCTAAATTCTCATTTTCTCTATCTCTAGTGAATTAATACTGTATCAACTTTGACAGATTTCCATAAAGGACATAATTTTTATGAATCGAATATACCACAAGAGTCCTTCTGATGGCATCTGGGGAGACCACGAGATTGGCTATCTTCTGTTGGTGAGGAAAGACCTCATGCTGAACCCAGATACCAGGGAAGTGAGAAGCTACCGCTACATGAGCCAGGAGGACGTGCAGGAGCTACTGGACAGGGGAGCCCATGGAGAAGAGAAGATCACCCCATGGTTCAGAACCATCCTAGAAGGCTTCCCGCTCTCTTGGTGGCCTTCTTTAGAGGATGTGTCTCCATTCATTGAGCCTGACAAGATACATGGACTGTAAGGCGTATGGAAAAGTAATGTTCAAAGCAGGGATTGGGGTTGAGAGTGACTCAGCAGTTAAGAACACTTCTGCTCTTGCAGAGAACAGGGGTTCCACTCCCAGCATCCACATGATGACTCACAACTATCCATAACTTCAGTTCCAGAGGCTCTTACACACTCTTGTGACATCTGCAGGTAGCTGGCATACACAATGTGGTATATACACAGACAAAAGCAAATTAACTCAAACACATAAAATTTTAAAATATCCAAAAAGTAGGGTTCATCACTAACCTGCGGTTAGAATGGCATGCATTACAGAAACTGAGTTCTAATACCCTTTCATTGCTTGTACTAACCTACAATTCAAGCTCCTAGTTTTACCCAATTTTTTTCCTTTTTTGCTCTATCTCTAGCTCTTAAACATTTTCAACTGTAATCTACGGAAAATGCCACTTTTCTCCTAAACCTCCCCTCTTGCAGGCCGCAAGAATATATTATAGAGATTCAGCTGTGTATTAAAGCTGAACTTTGACTGGCCAAGGGTCTGTCAAAAGGCAAAGCCATTTATTATGAATATTTGGTGTTACCCAGCCTTTAATATTTCAGCTGTCTTCTGCTATGAAATCCTTATGTGCCCAAACCTATTGGTAAACAGTTCAGCTCGCCAGACCTGCTGAACCTACTAAATTAAATTACTAACTGCCCTGCTGAGTTTAGGAGACAAGCTGGCAGGGAGACTCATAGCTTTGTTTCCTGTGCTAATGAAGCTCAGACCATCCCCTGGCTTTGAAGAGGCCTAGTGGTTCTCCAAAGCATTTTGACTGAGAACAAAAGAGGTTTTTGCATATCAAGGTGAGTGGTAAAACAACATTCCCGAGGAGGCAGGGAACCACGTGCCCAGGGAAAGAAAAGGCAGGCATTTTCTGTAGACAGGAACAGAACAGCATGAGAGTGAAGAGAGGATGACAGAGGTTCCACAGAGGGTAAGCAGATCTCGAGTAAAGTTTTCTGAGTGCCAGGAGTAGAGAGTAGCAGAGATGGAGAAAGAGGGTACTGGAGAAAGAGGGTACAGAGGACGAAGATGAGGCTGAAAGCATAGACATTAGTCGTTAGCAGGACTATGAGCTAGGGAGCTGGACGGAACTGCAGTTATGGAGAGAGGATTTCATCCCAGAGAAATAAAGTAGATGGATATAGAGCTTGGTATGTCTAGAGTTGTTCCTGTTGTGAATGCCTGGTGGAGTTATAGCTAAATTGATAGAATTTGTCTTAGAGGAATAAAGTTAACAGACATAAGAACACAGTGTACGTAGATTTTTTTCCCTCAGATCCCACGCCGAACATAGCAAAGCCCCCTTGGACCCTAGGGATTTGATACTCCCCCTGGTGGCATCACTCTCCCTCTGGAGTCCCTGTTTACTTCTCCTATGTCCAGTGCTCTGCAGGTGACCGACCTCTGTACCTGGTGCTTACAGGCATAATGGTGTATGAGGATTACATATTGAAAACAAAGAACTTTGTTAGTTTTCACTGGGTTCACCAATTTCACAGGGACGATGTGGAGCTGATGAGCATCATCAGTTACTTCCTGCTGTATTTTTACTTCAGCCAGTGCTGATCCCCAGCACAAAACACCCATCTTGCACGTATAAAGTAACAATAAAAATCAGTTTAATGTCCCTTTAGTATAGCTCAAGTAGTAAATCTGTCTGGTAAAATGTTATTGTGGATACTTATCAACAATAACTAAAACTCATAATCTTTATTATGCAAATTGTATTAAGAGTCAGTCATCAGAAAATTCGGAAAGGAACAATTCAGCTCACTGATTTCTCTTCATTACTAGCATAATGAAGAATTTCTATTTCATTACCTCTCAAACGCTTTGCTATCTGTAGTTGTATTAGATAATTCCCGCTTTCCCCTCCCTGAAGACAGTGTCTCACTATGTACCTCCTTTGGCTGTCCAGAACCCACTCTGTAGACCAGGCTAGCCTCCCACTCATCATAGATCTATGTGCCTCTGCCTCCCAGGTGCTGGGATTAAAGGCATGTGCCATTATGTGTGGCTAATACCATTTTCTTGAAAATTAAAAACATATATCCAGACACTTGCCAATATTTGAGTTGGTCATCACTGAACTTTACAAACTATGTATCACTCATATCCCTGATTACATGCCACTTGAAAATCTTTTCTTTCACTCTAGTCTCCCTTTGATGCAAAAGAATTTTGATGTAGTCCTATTTGTCTACTTTCATTTGTTCTTTTTTTGTAAGTGGAATTGTTCCTTAACTCAGCAATAGTTCATGGAAGATGTCATTTAATTATTGCAATAACCCTGGCATTTATTTCCCTAGAAAGTATTTTCGCTCTAAGAACAAAGAAGCAAAGCCCTGTGTCTTTTTCTTTGGCCACCATAGCAACTTATAATTAAACCAAACAACCATATTTAAGTAATCAAAACTACATTTTTACTGGAGGTTTATTTTGGATAAAATGGTTAAAGTTACAATGATACATTGTACTGAAGGTCTAGAAAATACATAAGAGAGTCAGGCCCTCAGAAAGGCTGGTAGTCTTCTGCCTACAAATCCCAATGGGGATGCTTTCTTCACAAAAAATAGTTACTTTGGATGACAAAGCAAAGTTTTTTTTCTTCACCAAAAGCAGCCTACTTATACCAATAAATGTTTACCTTTCTTTCTTTTCTGGGGGAGGGGGGAGGGGGTGGTGGTGGTGGTTTTGAGACAAGGTTTCTATTAGAGCTGGCTGTCCTCGAACTCATAGATCCACCTGCCCCTGCCTCCCAAGGGCTGGGATTAAAGGCACACACCACCACCACCCGGCTACCGATAAATCTTTGAGTCCTGCAGATGTGAAACAATCACATCATTAAGAACAGAATGTTCTCAGTGGTGGTGCACACCTTTAATCCCAGCACTCAGGAGGCAGAGGCAGGTGGATCTCTGCGAGTTCGAGGCCAGCCTGGGCTACAAAGCGAGTTCCAGGACAGACTCCAAAGCTATACAGAGAAACCCTATGGGGGGGGGGGGACCAGCATGCTCTGTATTTAGACATTTGTATTGTGCAGTGACAAGGACACCGCACACCTAATCAGGTTTACCAGTCTTCAGCAAAGCAACAAGTATCATTAAGTCATTTTCACTGTTTCTCTTTTCAGTTAATAGATGGTGGTTCCAAACTGTATAAAGCACACCATACTATACCCAGAAATAAACAGCAAGAGTCCAGCCAAAGCACTCCAACTCAAGAGGACACTATCTCCTGTCCTTTTTGCCAGCTTTCCTCTTCCCAGAGAGTAGGTGCTTGGGCTTCATATCAAACACATGCCTATCTGCTTCCCCTTTCTTCCCCAAGCGATTCATCTTCTTCTGGGCTTTCTTCATCATAGTCTTGGCTTTCTTCACCATCTATACAGGAGAACACACATTAATGAAAACCACATTTCTATCCTGCATTGTAATTACCCGAGAAACGTTTTTAAGAGCACAGATACAAACTATAAGACCCTGTTGAGTCTCAGTCACTGTTTTCTCTCAGACCACCATACTATCTGCAGAAATTCAATGACTATCTGAATATACTGAGGGCCTTTTAGAGTTAGATTGCAGAGTATCTGCTCAAATGTTCAGAGTAACACACTGAAACTCAGCAGAGTACCCACCGCCACATTTGACTCCTAACTGTCAAAGCCAGTATTAAAACCTGCAGTTCAGCAGTGCACACTTGTAATCCCTGCTGAAGATGAAGCTGGGGAAGAACTGTGAGTCTGAACTACATAGCAAGCTCCCGGCCAACAGGGGAAACACACTAACTAACACTTTCTAGACTTCCAGATGGAGAGGACACATGAAAAAGAAAAATTCAGCCTTTCACTGAGTAAGCAGTCTACCAGTTTACATAGGTTTTATCTTATATTTGAATTTTCAAAATGCTAAAATTTAAAATAAAATTGTTTTTCATTGAAAATAAAGTTTTCTTCAAAAAGAAATTTCAGTGAAAATTTAAACACCTATTGTACCTTTGCAAAAGATGTTACAAATAATAACATACTGATCCAGGCTACCACCTTGAGGGGAAAAGTTCTAATATCGTACACAAGATTATCTGGTAATGAACCAAGTTTCCCCTGGACTACTTCCTCACAGGGAAATGGAGGCCTCTTCCTCAGGGGCCACCTCTTCCTCACAGGGGAAATGGAGGCCTCTTCCTCAGGGCCACATCCTAGTAGTTTCCAAACCACTGGGACCTAAGCTCAGCCTATGCATACTTTATCAGATCACATTTCTGTCCATTCTCCAGAGTAAGGGTTTCAGAATGGATCCAGAGGATCCAACTGCTCCCTGGCCCAAGTTCCTCTCCATAGGACTCCCACAAACTGGAGGATGGGACGAACAGCTAAGCTCTTACCCACAACCCTGCTCCTCCAGACAACTGCTGGTGTTTGCTGGAGGCTTTGTACAGTAAACACCCTGAAGGTTCTTATTTTCTTCTGTCCTATATCAAAGAAACTAACCTTAACATCCCGAAGACCAGAAACATCACGTGGAGTTCGAGAGCAACTCCGACTCCGGGCTATAGAAGAGGGTGGAACAGACTCTTCTCGTTTCCTTTTCCTAGTGACACTCCGAGATCTTCTCGCCTGGACTGCGTAGTGGGCCTGAAACACACAAACAGCAAACTCAGCAACAACCAAAATTACTCCTTCAACAAGAAGAGAAGACAGTTAAGGTCTTAAGAACCATTATCACGCAAGGCAAAGAATTTGGAATGTCTATCGAGATTTACTGGCACAGGGTCTGGTTTGAAGCAGAGGGTTAAGGGTCAAAGGCATCGCCACACTGCTATTGTCCCTCCTGGGGAGGTTTCAGGAATGTCCAGCTCAGTACCCATGCTGTTGGTAAATCAGATGGTGCTTTTGAGCCGTGGCTCTTGCACCTTCCACCTGAGGATGAGCAGGGATTGTCTGTGTGTTAATGTTCTCTACTGGTTAACACCAATCATGTATGATAATAACAATACTTTTGGTTCACAATTTATATCGTGTATGTCAAGGTTTTTAACACCCTCCCTTCCCCTCACCCCAAATAGTCTAAGTTTATGTACATTATGTGCATACTATGATAGTCACATAATAAAATCACCTAGTGACAGATTTCTGAGAACATATCGACATCGTTAAGCAACCCTGACTGTATGCAGGGTATTGTAGCACATGCCTGACTACCAACATTGGAGAACTAGAGATGAGGAAATACTAAGTTTGAAGCTAGGTTGGGCTACATAGTAAGACAATGTCTCAAAACAAAAGCGCACAAACCATATCTGAAACCTTGCTGCCCCTCCACAGACTTACATTATCTTTATCATCCATGTCAACGCCAAGACTACGCATCTCATTCTCCAAGTCTGCCCGTTGAACCTGAAGTGGGGGGTCAGGGAGGGGGGAAGATAACTTATTATAAATAAAATGCCTGGTAATATTTAATTTTGAAAGAAAAAGGGGAAAAATACACAGATAATACTGTGATACAGACAGATAAGAAGGTAGGTAGACACCTGTTCTGTCCACAGTTCCTGGATCCTAATGCTCATAAACTTTATCATTTCCTCGGGACTAGAACAGAAAGGACTAGCACATTTGGCCTTTAGTCCTTGGTTCTAAGAGCTGCCTGAGGTAAAGGAGTATTTGTTAATTATGGTACTTCAGGCCATACAGTCAGTCAGTCCATCTCCCTTTCTCTCTCTGTTTCTGTCATCTTCTGCTCCTCTTTCACATGTTCCCTTTTCTTCCCAAGGAATGGTAGGCTCTAACAATTAGGTCTACATGTAAGTACATGCTACAGTATCACACCATTCATTATGTGTAAGATACTACATATGCTAGAATACTTCTTTTTTCAAGGCAGGTGACACAACTGAAGAATGAACTCTAGCCTTCCCCTGCCTCTGTCTGGGAGCTGGCCAGCTTTGTCTACCTTGTGGCAGTATATTCTTCAGACTGTTTCAGAGGAGCAGGGAAACAGCACAGCAAGGCCAGAAGAGGCCAAACAGACAGGTGCAGTCTGCTAGCACATCTCTAGAGCACATCCCATGTGTGCTTATCCAATCAAGTTTTAATAACAAACTAAAGGAACAGAGTTTGGAGGGATACCGATGATTTCCACTCTTACAGCAAAGTTAGAAAGAACTGAACCATGTGCTAGGAGGGCAGCATCCCCAGCTCCTGGAAGTGTGACAGTTCCTTCAGAGTGCCGCCTCTTGACCTTCATCATCTTTTCAAATATACTTTATACTGAATTGGCAAATGCAATCAGCAAAGGTTGTGTGTTTCCCCATTTTGTGAAGTACTCTAGCAAATAAATCAAACTCAAAGAGAGGGTCACAGGAATCATACTCTAGCTGGAAAGCCAAGTTCTGGAGGCCCTGACTTATGACTGATGTTTTAAGTGGGACTACTCTGGTGGAGAGAAACTATTAGCTTCTCAGCTTTGATGTTACCTCCAGGTAGACGGTGTGAGAAGTGAATTAAATTGGGGAACACCCAGCAGTGTCTGCTGCAGGACTGAAACTGCTTGACAATGGAGATTTCTCCCACTCACTCACACTCTGGGATCAAATAAAGCATCCACACTGTCAGCATACCGGGAGAAAACCTGAGTTTGCTCTTGCCCTGGATCTTTCAAGGATACCTTTTACAATCATCTATACACACTGTAAAAATGCCTTTTTCCAACTGGGATGACATTTGTTTCTGAACAGTTCAGTTAAATCTCATGAAAACTAACAGTGCACTTGCTATGTAGAAGCCATGGCAAGGCCGTTAGGACCCTGGGAGTAAGAGAATGGCTGCATAGGATAGAGAAGGTACTAAAGTTCAGTGATCAGAGTCTCTCCTCAGAGACCACTGAGGACTACCAGGAGAAAAACAAACACATCTGCAACTATTGGCAGCCATACAATCACATGAAAACAGCATTTTCAAAACCAGGAATGACCATTGTGGCACCAACAGTGCCAAATTCCATTCCTTCCTCCCCCTACCCCCAATTATAGTTTAGCTTCCCAGAACCTTGTCTCTTTTGGGAACCTGCCACTCCCTTATCTGAACTTTTAGGGAGGCTACGGCCACAGGGGTAGTCAAGTGATATGAGACTGTCATCCAGACAAAAGCATAAGTAAGAGACAATGACATCCCAATATGAAGCCAAGAAGTGGGAAGAATCTTGATGTCTTCTGATCCATTCACACCTACAGAGTGGTTTTCCCTATCCTCACCAGTAACAGGGACTGATAAACTGCCTTATGGATTTAGGAATCTTAATCAATAGAGAACTTAAATAATATAAAAATGTTGGCACTGGGCATGGTGGCACACAACTATAATCCTGGCACTTATGGAGCATAAATCAGGAGTTCCTTGGCCACATAGCAAGTTTAAGGCTAGCCTGGACAACATGAGACCCTACTTAAAAATTATGCCTTTAATCCCAGCACTTAAGAGGCAGAGGCAGGCAGATCTCTGTGAGTTCAAAGGCAGTCTGGTCTACAAATCAAGTTCCAGGACAATCAGGGCTACACAGAGAAAACTTGTGTGTGTGTTGGGGGGAGGGGGTAAATTAACTAACATCTTGTAACTTCAACAAGTTTAGTTTTAACTTGTATAACTGCATCAATGACTCAGTTTGTAACAGGGACTGACCTGGAGTTGCAATTCATAGAGAAAAGATGCAACAGTCAGAATACAGCAGCTCAAAGCAAAGAATCTTGTAAATCAGTATACTTGAGTCCCTCAAAGTATGCCACCTGACATCCCCAAGTAGTGGAAGCCTGTCTCTAGTGGTGGTTCACACAGGATCCAGCATGAGAGCTCAGGCCTGCCTCTGCAATGCTTAAGACTAACCTTCTTAGCAGTTCGGGGCATCCTGGGTCCCTGTGTGTTCTTTTCCTTGGACTGTAGAATTTTCAACTTCTTCTTTTCTCTAATTTGTTTGGCCAGCTGTCGGATTTCCATCATTTCCTCATCTTCACTTTCAGAGTCGCTGTCATACTCCCCAGCAGCCGTTCTTAGCTCTTCTTCCTTTTCTAACTCTTCCAATTTCTTTAAAAAGAATCATAAAATTAACAAAGAAAAACTTGCTGGGCGGTGGTGGCGCACGCCTTTAATCCCAGCACTCGGGAGGCAGAGGCAGGCGGATCTTTGTGAGTTCGAGGCCAGCCTGGTCTACAGAGCCAGATCCAGGAACGGCGCAAAGCTACACAGAGAAACCCTGTCTCGAAAAACAAAAACAAAAAACTTGCAAGGAAGTAAGTGTAGCAACATATCTATAGGAATCATGTTTCCTTAAGTCTCTGAAAATATGACAATGGTGTGTCATGATAGAGTCACAACTGGGCCCCACTTGTGCACAGCTAATCTCACAGGAATAGGGACATATGAAGGGCACAGAGAGCACGAACACTGCATGCCCTATTCGCTGCCAATTCTGTTTTGTCTTTAAAGAAACAAATGCAGGGACCCCTTCCCTCATTCCCCAGGGTTCCCAGCAGACTCATGAAAGAAATTTGTACCAATTCCCATTCATCCTCTCAAATAACATCCTGAACACAGCCACACTATTTACAAAATAAGACAAAATGAAGTTTTAAATACATATATGGGTTTGAGGACGTAGCTATGTGGCAAAGCCCTGGCCTAACAAGCACAAGACCACACACACACACACTCTCACTCACCACTCAATCAATCAATCAATCAATCAATGATGAGATGAATGTGTAAACAATGACATGCAGTGAAAAAGCAAGTAAGGGGTAAGTACCAAGGATAGGACAGCTCTCTAGGGAGAATGTATCTAAGAAAGGGCAGGACCCACTGACATGAAACCCCTCTTTCAGAAGGATCTAAACATAAAGGGGTCAGTGAGACACAGAATCTGGAAATCAGAGTTCACATCCCAATTTTCTTGGGAAAGCAATGTCACTTGCTGGACTAGCAGGAGGAGGTCTGAGAATACTCAAAAAATGTCTACAACAGTTACAGAAAGGAGACTGAGCCAGTGACAGATCTCCACAGTATAGTACCAATACAAGCCAAAATGACACAGCCCATTACAGATCAGTGAGAAAGGCCTGGGCATCACTAGGACTACACAGGGCAAAGGAAGAACAGAGTCATCTAAATGGAGGAGTGATGGCTCCAGGCAATCATAGAACAGGGTGGAAGATGCCTCAGGGCATAGAACAAGAAGAGAACGAAGGGGAAAGAGGTGAAGTTGGGGGAGAGTAATTAAAATGTGATGCAGACCTTCATGATAGCAGGATCGATATAATCAGCAACATTATGGCCTTCCCAGATCTCTGGTATCTTATCATATTTCTCGGATGAATTCATTAAGTCCCAGTATTCTAAGGTTGGAAAAAAAAAAGTGGTGTTTATGGTAGTTTCTAGTATCTTCAAGTACTGTGCAACCAAAATGATTATTCTAGATGCCAGGTAAAACCACTTTACAAAGGTAAACAGAACAGTTGTGTCCAACACTGCCTAAGTTATTACTAACAAGATCAACACTGACCAACATCTGTATGCCCAATCTTCAAATACTACAAAAATAATCCCATCATATGAAATAACAGAAAATAATACAGAAAACATTTTACACAGCTCTGTATATCTGTAACTTTTAATCTTCAAAAAATTAAAAACTTATAAACCAACAAATTCACTAGAAGACTTTCATTCCCCAAACTTTTTTTTCCTGAAACACTTTTCAGACAACTGACATTTCAAAACGCCTTACTTACTCTGAAGATCCAAAATATAATCATCTCCCATTTCCAGCTCAAGATCTCGTTCCTGCAGAGAAAACCCCCAAAAGTTTATTATTACGTCCCCAAATGCTTTGCTACCTCCTTGCCAATAAAAAGCCCCTGACCCTTTGTATCTACAATGAACAGGAGGGCTGCTTTTGCCCACCTGGTGGTTTATGTGTCTCATGCACTCTGTTCACGGTGATACAACTGAAGAGCTTTATGAGATTGAAGAGTATGTTAAGGATTCCCCACTCTGTCCACGAACCTTACAGGGCCAAACTCTGAGCACACTCAGTTGAGTCTATTGCATCAAGCCTCCTTCATGTGACTAAAGCCCTTAGGCCCGCTACATTCCCGACCCCTAATGCTGCCTTTTCTGCTGCACAGGCAAGTCTTTGCCACACTCCACAAGAAACCCAGACAAAGAGGTATAGTAACCTACCCTCTTCTTCCTGGGCTCTGCAATCTCCATTCTTTTCCTGCGGGCCACCACTCCTTCTGGGATGAAAGGGGGTCTCTCCTAAGAACACATTATTGAATGTATGTGAAATGTCTTCCAGAATATGAGAGGAACGTAAAAGAAACCAAAAACTAAAAATAAAGGCAGTCTACAGGGAAACACAAAACCACGCAAACCAATGGAAACAAAGTGCGTTCTAGGGAGTAAGTTTCAGGGACAGAGTGGGTCTGAAAGGAGACGAGACAACCCTCAAAACTGATTCCACAGTCTATTAGGCAAAAATCCAAAGTATTCAGAAAAGTATGTAAGAAAGACAAGAGAACAGTAGATCAATCAATGAACATGAAACAATCATAAATCCAAGTATGTTTAGAATCCAATGGCATTAAATTCACTGATTAGTTGAGACCAATGACTACCCCATGAAACCAGGCCCACAAGTGGTAAACCATACCTCCCTCAGAACAAAATAAATTCAGCATACACAAACCTTCTACCCAGAAGAGAAATCAAAGCAAAAACAAAACCATGAAAATATAGAGGAAAATGGTATTTTAAAGTATTTTAGGAGTGAACATAATCTGTTCTCTATACAACTCAAAAAACCTAACAACTATGAAAGTATTTTATGTAAGGTGTAGCTTTTTTTTTTTTTTTTTTGGTTTTTCGAGACAGGGTTTCTCTGTGTAGCTTTGCGCCTTTCCTGGAGCTCGCTCTGTAGACCAGGCTGGCCTTGAACTCACAGAGATCTGCCTGGCTCTGCCTCCCAAGTGCTGGGGTTAAAGGCGTGCACCACTGCCCCCAGCAAGGTGTAGCTTTTTTGAGATGTTTTTTTAAAAAAAAGAAAAAAGAGGGACTGGAGAGATGGTTCAGCACTTAAGAGCACTTGTTGCTCCTGCAGACCTGAGTTCAGTTCCCAGCACTCACTCATGTGGCAGCTCACCACTGTATCTAACTCCAGTTCCAGGGGATCCAATGCCCTCTTTTGGCCTCCATAGACACCAGGACACAAAATGTACATACTTACAAAGCAGGAAAGACATTCATACACACAATAGAAAAATAAAACTATTAAAAAAAAGTGACAAAGATTAAAAAAAAAGAAAAAAAGAAAAACTTTAGAAACTTATATCCCAAAATACAGATTTATGTATAGTAACACATGGATAAAGATGCAGGCTGCTTATAATGCCAATAAAATAAAAATGTAAAACAAATACTTCCATTGGCTAAATTTAAAAAAGGTGTGTGTGTGTGTGTGTGTGGGAGGGGAGTTATATCTAAGCCACTTCTAAGGGACAAACAAAATGGTTCCTAGCAACAGCCTGACAGGAAGAAGCAGGGTGCACAGAGCTCTTCTTTAGTTTGGTCTTTCTCTCATGCACATGTGACTACCATGAATGGAAAACTGACACCACTATGTGAAGTCCATTTGTATCCATGTTTAACAAGTGGCAACACCAGGACATGTGGCAAGCACCCACTGACCAAGCACAGCAACACAGTCACTGGACCTCAAAGGCTCCTGCAAAGGGCCACCTTACCTTATCATCTCTCTTGTTTGGCACAGCTAAATGCAATCTGTTCAGAACCTCATTCACTTTATTTCCTTTCATTTTCGTTTCTACTCGATGAGCCAAAAGCCTATCACAAGCCTGAGAAAGTACAAAACCACGGCAGAGTCACAAAACCATTCTACACCAGGCCCCCTTCACGCATAACAAGGGAGAATCAAGTGCCCCATTCATTGACAGGTTGACAACTGGGTATGGAACTTCCTCCATACCGACTTCAGCAGGTAACTATGCCACCTCTTTCTGGGCTGAGGGCCAACCCAAGACTGAATGCTGAAGCAGCTCAGTGTCCTTAAGCCCCTCTTCCTCACAAAAATCAAATGGTCCCCCAGACATTTCTAGCAATTTCAACAACTAATCCTATTCAAGGAAATGTCAGTAATTCCTAAAAAAAATAAAATAAAATAAAATAAAAAATAAAAAAATAAAAAGGGTTGCCCACCACACTGATTTGTCTAAAACAAAAACTCTGCCATCTGAGTTAAGGAAGCACTAACCTCTGTTTTAACCTGAATGACACCTTCCTCAGTCAGGGTGCTGGTCTCAATGACAGGGAATCCTTCAGCCTGCAAGTCCATAAATATTTTCTAGGAATAAAAAAGAAACATGCATTGTTGTTTTCCAGTTTCCCAGAGAACAAACTACTGTTTTGCAAATGGAAGTTATTTGTTCAACAGCCATGATTTGTTTTTAACCCCTAAAGAACAAACAGCTGTAAATTAATTTTTCCAATAATATTTCTACAATTGAAAATAAATAAATAAAAGATAAATAAATAAGCAAACTCCTACAGGATCAAACCGGATCAGAGTCACACAAACCTGAAACCCTACAGAACATTCTACAAGCTCTCCCCTCCCATCTCACTCCCAGTACTAGAGATTGAACTCAGCTGTAAGCTGCCACTGACCTACATCCCTAGCCCCAAGATGTAAATTTTCAGAGAAAAAAAAATGCAAGAAAGAGAAAGACCAAATTTTGTTGTTCTGTTTTTCAAAAAGCAGGGACCTGATTTATAGCCAAGGCTGGCCTGGAACACAATATATAATACAAGGTGGCTTCTGTCCCAGCCTCCATCTGTAGAATTGATGTATATCTCTATATGCAGAAAAGAAAAACTTTTTCAAAAGATGTTTTCAATGCTATTTCTTATTTTAAAGTTTCTGCCAAATGAGCCCAAGAGAACTCTTTAGGAAATATAAAAATTGTTTATTAATCTATCATTCTATGAATCACTAAAACTCTAAAAAAGGGACTTGGTATGTCCTCCAACAAATGCCATGTTTACAACTACAAACACCTCCCTAGTTTAGAGGCAGGGGATCAACTCCCAATAGACATTAAAGCTTCCCATGAACAAGGTCAACTTCTGTTAACAAGGGACTAAAGCATGGTTTCGGACAAAGCCAGGGTCTGAGCACAAATTCTGTCATTTAGCAACAAATGACCCAGTACATAATGTAGTCACTGAGCCTCTCTGTGCATGTGATAACTGTCAATTGTCACTACTATGTGAAAAGGACTGATAAGTACAAGGACAGGCTCTACAATACAAGTGTTAAGCAAGCTGTAGATTTTTTTTTTTTTTTTTTGGTTTTTCAAGACAGGGTTTCTCTGTGTAGCTTTGCGCCTTTTCCTGGAACTCACTTGGTAGCCCAGGCTGGCCTCGAACTCACAGAGATCCGCCTGGCTCTGCCTCCCGAGTGCTGGGATTAAAGGCGTGCGCCACCACCGCCCGGCAAGCTGTAGATTTTTTAAAACACCATCTATTTCCTAATTCATGTAGTATGAACAACTGAAGATGTAGGCATTACCTTTACTAGAAAATAAGCCAGGGACCAGAAAAATGACCTAAGGTGATGTCCGTTTTCTATTAGACAGCTGGCAAGTAATCAATTATCCAGACAACTGGGCCTCAGAAGGGTGACTCACTTTCCTACTGCACTGCTGGTGAGTAACAAAGCTGGATGTGAGGCTGACCCCAAAGCCTGAGCACCTGACCAGTTTGTTTCACTTCTCAAGTCTTCCTTGTGCTACCCACTCTCCTTCTCCACTCTTCAGTGCCTTTTAGACTGACAAATTGAAATTACTTAAAAGATATAAGGGTTGTTTGTTTTTGTAAGACAAACTGATTCTGACATCAGGGGCAGATAATTAGTAACTTAAAGAATGCAGGGTCTTGACAGCTAATCTTACCGCTTGGGATGTACAGACGGGAGGATCAAGAGTTCAAGGCCATCCTGACTTGTCTTTAAATAAAAAAATCGCCAAACAAAACCAAAATATGCTGTGTTCTGCCCTAAGTAGACAATTTAAGACAAGCCAATCCTTACTATCTATAAAATACCCCAATAGAAGAGTTGTTATTATCTATAAAATAATCCAATAGAAGAGTCCTTATCATCTATAAAATATCCCAATAGAAGACTCCTTACCATCTATAAAATATCCCAATAGAAGACTCCTTACCATCTATAAAATATCCCAATAGAAGACTCCTTACCATCTATAAAATATCCCAATAGAAGAGATCTTACTATCTATAAAATACCCCAATAGAAGAGACTTTACTATCTATAAAATACTCCAATAGAGGAGTCCTTAGTATCTATAAAATACCCTAATATTACAAAAGATAGAGCCAGATAGCATTTTCCATTCTAGTGTATTGGTTTTCAGAAAGCCAGCGTGTACCAGCCACCTGTGCAAACTCATACTGCTGCCATACCCCAGGGGTTTAGACCAGGGATCTGTGTGCCCAAGAATATTAATTTTTGACAAGCTACCAGGTAAACATCAAGAGAGCTTCTAGTCAGGGACCACAGTGAGAACACTGCAAGAGTACAAGTCTCTCAGAGCATTTATCCTGAAAACTATCTACTAAAAGGGTTAAATTATTTAAAAAATTATGCCTACCAACACTGCCTGCTTCGTGGATAATGTTGGCAGACATTCTTTTGAGAGCTTACAGATTCTTGTCCTCTTTCACTCACTTGTCCAACTTAATCACAGACTCCTTTACATAATAAAGTAAGCCATAGTCACACCATTTCTAAAGAGAAACTTCTGGGAAATGCTTCCCTAGATCACCTGATACCCTAAGGCCTGGGAAAGATAAAAGAACACATCAAGGCACCTGACTTCCTCTTGGGTACCAACTTAAAAGCAGTCCTTTCCTAGGTAACCACATTTCCCAATGGTTCAGTGTAGCAAACGCCCCAAAACACAAGTGTTTCCACAGACTGAAGACGAAGAAGGAATCAGGAAACTGTTTTTCAGGTTTACTGTCCTGCCACTAAACACTAAGGGCCATCTTAGTTTCTAGAATAAAAAACTCGTCTAGAAGTACTAAAATTCCTTCTAAATGAACATGAGGAGTCAAAACTGTTTTTTTAAAAAGTATATATATTTAATATACCCAAGTGATTTACCTGATCTTCTTCAGAAAGCTCAGCTATTCTCTTCACATCACATTTGTTTGCTACAACAATAAGAGGCTAGCAAAGAAGAAAAGAAATTATTACTCTCACACTACACAATAACGTAGTCCCCACTCCTTGCCCATCCATGCCTTTGCTTTGTGCAATTTCAGTTACCCAGGCTGAGATCAACTACTACTGCTGGAAAATACAAAGTGGAAAGTTCTATTAATAAACAATTTATAAATTTAAATTGTGACCATCCTGAGTAGTGCAATGAAACCTTTTGTCTTAGTGCTGCATTCCACCCAGAACACAAATCATCCTTTTGTCTGGCTTATTCACTGTGTATGCTACCAGGAAACCAGCCACTTGGTTTATGTCAGTTATCACATCAACTGTCACAGTACTGTTTGTGGTCAAGTAACATAGAACATTCAGTACCATCCATGGTTTCAGGTGTTCACAGTGGTCTTAGAACCCATTACCTATGAGTAAGTAGGCACTGGTGTGTAAATTAAAGTATTAGTTACCACACTTACCTTGTTGATAAACAGAGGTCTGATATTCTGGAAGAGTTCTAATTGCTCCTTCAACCCATGTCCACACTGCTCAGACAAATCCATCACATACAGAACTGCAGCTCGAAGGTGGGCCAGGGCTGTGATAGCCTGCATTTCAATGGTGTTCCGATCCTCCAAAGGATGATCCAAAATCCCTGGGGTATCTACAACCTAACAACCAGGCTTCATTACCCAAAGTACCCTCACTCAAAAATGTCTTGTCTGATCCCAGAGCCATTCTCTTACATCCAAACCAGTTCTAGCAAAACTAGTAAATAAAATATGAGATCAGAAACTGCCCACGATAAAATAAACAAAGAAAGGAGGAAAAAGTACATAATTCTTTATAAAACCAAAACCAAATCCAGGAGTCTGGTATGGTGACTCACAGCTGTAATCCTAGCACCAAGGAAGTGGAATCAGGACTGACATGAGTTTAAGGCTAGAATGACCTACACAGTGAGGCCAGTCTGGCTAGAATGAGACCCCGTCTCAAAAGGACAGATACAGGGATCTAAAGAAACCTGTAGAGCCCATTAAAGAGATACTGGCCTTGGGAGAAATGAGCCCTCTTTTCACACAGCCATCAAAACCCAGGAAAACTGGAATAAATGACCAACTCTCCCAATTCCCAAGACTTGGCTTCTTCATCATTTATAAAATTAGATTTGGTTGTAAACTAGACTGTTCCATGCTTTTCAATAGTAAATGCCACTTCTAGTGAGTGATTAAAATAACACAGAGTATTTTATTCATTGGAGGCATCATTAAAGAAATCACCCCTGCAGAAGTACTGCAGAAATCCATACTGTCAGCTTTCTCTGTTACATAAACGTGATCTGTTATTATGCTTCTCCAAACCTCGGGCCAGTTCTCTTTATCATGATGGAGAGATCTCAAGTTCTTGGTGAGACCAGAGAAACCATTCCCCACCTAAGAATTGTCCTGAGAGGACACTGCTTACCACTGGCTGTATACTAGGTGCACTATGGGAGGAGATATGCTACAGCTCTTTAGAAATCATCAAATTCTATTAAACCAAAACCCAGGATGTTTGTTCTCTTTGCAGATCAAACTTACCTGCCAGCGCAGATACTTATAGTCCATGTGCCCAACAAACAGAGATTTGGTGGTAAATGCATAGGGCTGAACATCCACGTCTGCTCTTGTTACCTTGAAGAAGACAAAAATGATACTTTCACAGTCACCAGAGTTCCATACCACAATTTCCCCCAAACAATCTAAGCATGGCACCCACACTTTATCAAGACTAATTTTAGCCAAACACAACACTGCTCAAGTCATAGCTACATAGGCTACTGATGCAGGAAGATAATAGGCTCAAAGTCAGTCTGGACAACTTGGAAAGACTATCTCAAAATTAAAAGGCTAGAGAATAGCAGCTGGAGGGAGAGCACTGTCTTGTACATGTGAGGCCCTGGGTTCAGCACGCACGCACGCGCACACACACACGCACGCGCACACACACACACGCACTCGTCCCTTTTTAGTAGAAAATAAAATCCCAAGGACTGTACATGAGTAAACTGCACAGGACAGATATTATCTGCTTTGGCAAATGCCTGGCTCTTCCCTTACACCAGAGTCCTACCAGCCACTCTCTATTCTCCAAGGTTCAATATGCAGCTCATGTCACTCAGGAACTGAAATTTTCATCGTGCTGAATTAGTTTAAACCACAATTCAAAATGCCGCATGTGGCCAGAGGCTACTGTATCATCCCCCAGAGCAAAAACAATCACAGCAAATTCAGAGCAAGCCAACAAGCATTTGAAACTTCAATTAGAACCCCCAAGAACATTGTTTACTACCAAGTCAGGGCAACTTGTGGGCAAAAATAAAACCTACTGGGCCAGCAAGGTGGCTCAGTAGGTAAAGGTGCCTGCCACCAAGCCTGATGACCTGAGTTCAATTTCCAGGACCTATATAGTAGAGAGAGAGAACCAACTCCTGCAAGTTGTTCTCTGGCCATCACACACACAAACTCACACACGAACACACGCACAAAGTTTAAGGCAAAAATGTTCTGGAATTAGGCGAGTCCTAGTATGTCCAGAAGCAGCAAATGACTTTTACTTAAATGTCACACCAGAGCTTAAAAATTCTTTTCAGATAAAGAGAGACACAGCCCAGGCAAGGAGCCCATACCTAATAATCCCTGCACTCTGGAGACAGAGGCAAGATAGCAGGTTCAAGGTCAGCCTGGGCTACATAACATGACTGTCTCAGAAAGAAAAAAATAAATAAATAAGAGAGGGATCAGAAAATCTATTACAATGGACACACAGTTCACATGAAGGCTGACACAATCACCAAGGTAACAAATCACCCATGTAGCTTTAGGCTGGGAAACTCCAGCTCAGTGAGTGTCACCAGGCATAAGGGCATTCCCAGAACGAGCTGACACAATACTATCAGGAAAACCTCTCTATCAGTTAACAGGGCACACAAGAATCAAAATGAACTGTCCCGGCAATCACTACATACATCTAGGTTCCTACAATGAGTTAAACCTCCTGAAAGGAATTTGGATGTGCTTCCACCTCAGGACCTAGTGAAGACAAGGGCAATCTTTACTAATGACTAGTTAGATGATTTCCCAAGCCCATCCTAAATCCAACAAAGGGAATGCAGTAGTACTTTGACCTAAGTTTAATCAGATAGCTGCTTTATAATAAAAAAAACACACCTACCTTATTGATGAAGCTGGATTTCCCAACATTTGGATACCCACACAAAAGCAGAGTCCTTGTATTTGGGTCAATGGTTGGCAAGCGGGATAAATGTTGACGTACTATAAAGAGTTTAAATGAAAAATTAAGAATTTAAGATTGGCTTGAAATTTTACTTTCTACTTAGTCATACTCCAGGCTCCTGGTTACTTTAATAAACTAAGATGGTACAAATTCTTCACCCTAGCTTTTTTTTAGGGTGACAGGAGCACACTGGTGGTTGAACCTAGGGCCTTATCATGCTAGGGAAGAGCTGTATCACTGAGCTACACCCCCAACCCTACTCTTTATTTTGAGGCCAAGTCTCACTTAGGCAGGCTCTGCCTTCACTCTAGCGCGGGCAGGCCTTGAATTTGCACTCCTACCTGAGCCTCCTGAGCAGCTGGATTACACTTTTCTAATTGCAAAAATGATGGAGAAAATGAGGGGTAAGGAATAACTGGAGAAACTAACAGCATATACAAGTATAAACAAGAGTATTTCCAAATATGGCTACACCAAGAATCAGGTGTTTAACCTACCAATCTGCATTTTGGTTGCTCTAAGCTGAAGTGAGACTAAGAACCATGCTTGGGAAAGATGATTACTGACATTTGGCTACAGTGTATTCTGAAGCATGCATGCTGTGACATGAACTAGTTCCACTTAGTTACCTCACCTGCAACACCAGCACAGCTCTAGCATGGCGCCCACTAGGCTATCCTGAGACTCTCACAGATCTGTAGGAAACACTTTCAAAGAACCTTGATGAATCATTTCAGGGAAGAAGAAAAATGCCAATCAAAATGATTGTAGGGCTAGGGGTGTAGCACAAGGCCCAACTTCCAGCTCTAACTCAGAAATTATCCTATTAAATAAAGTGTTTTTAGGTATATGTTTTACTTACTAAATACTAAAAATATGCATTTCCCAAAGCTCCAAAAAAATTAAAATGAAAAAAAAAAAAGTTAAGTATAAGTCCCAAACAAAAGAACATTGTAAAACCCATTTCTGCTTATATATAACAAGTACCTTGTTCCAAATACTCCAAACTCTGCCTCTGTCTCTTGATAATAGTACACATTCGCCCAAGGGCAGCACGCTTCAGCTGCTTGCAGCGGTACAGAGAATCACCATATTTCATAAGCCGCACATAATCTTTAGCAACACTTAGAAAAAGAGAAAATATCTAAGGTTTTTTTGTATTTTTTATAATAACTTATAAGATACTATAGTAAGAAAATACCTTACTTGTCCACCAAATTTTTGGCAATATTTATTTGACCTAGAGCCAACTTGTAATGATCCTTGTCATAGAGAATATTCATCAAGTCAGCATAAAATGGATGGATATCCTATAATGAAAAAGTGAAATATACAACGTCACCGTGGTGCAGTAGTTTCTTAGCCTTATGCAACGAACAGTAGAGAATTATCTCCCTTTCCTCTACCCTGCAGCTGGGATCCTCAGTCCCTCTCCTTGCCAATAACCCTGTCAAATTACTCCTCTAAGGAAACAGAAGCTCTCCCCAGGGACGGAGCTATAGCAATCACTTGTAGTCACCCCAACCTCCATCCTAGGGCAGTGTCAGAACTACTTAGAACAACACACACACTCACACACACCTAAGGAACTTAGTTAATGCTGGCAGGGAGGGAGATTTCACCTTTTCTTTTCACTTGAACATGCTTCACCAGAATTTTATGAGCTCAAGTTCACTAATAACTTCCCAACTGCCAATTCTCTCTTCTTGCCTGATGGTCCCTCTGCCTACAGGATGCACTCTCTTCAATTCTCTCAGTGTCCCTGCAGACACCTTATTTCCTAACTCAGCTTTCTCTCTTTGATGTGACACACTATGTATTTTATGTTTGTTTTTGACAGTCACATTATGCATCCCAGGCTGGTGAAGAACTCAAGATCCTCTATCTACTGTGACACCAAGCTCGCTGAGGGTAGAGCCTTTACTACTGCTCTATCCCTAGTGCTTGGAATTGTGCTTGCCATATAATATGTTCAATAACTTACAATTCTGAAAACTGTATCCACCTGAGAACAATTTCAGAGTAGCAGGTGAGATTGTTACTAGGCAGTAATAATAGAACAGGCAAGCAGATGATTTCTTCCATCTCTCACGTATAAAAAATAATGAATAAGATAATGTAAAAAGAACCACAAAAACTTAACTACTTTAAAATGCACTATTTACTAAAATTGAGTGTTGCCTAATATCAAGTCAGTTTAGATCATTTCATTCTTTTTTTCTAACCCTCAGGTTCTTTCTAGTACTTGACCTTTCCCAAGCAATGAATGGTGTCTGCTCTTCCATTTCTGAAGCCGAATAAACAAGTGACAGCAGTCAACTGCAGAGAAGTGGGTTCAGCTTTGTTTAAAGCTTTCTGTGCTATCCCTTGTCAGCAAAGGAAACGGTCAGTGTTGAACCAACCATCGTCCATGAAGTACCAAGCTCATAAACTCTGGTACCTTTGGCCACTGACTCTGATGAACCCAGAGGAAAAGGAGGCCTCAGAACAGGGAAGGGTGGAGTTTGGACAAGCCACAGGCCACCCAAGAATCCTGGACTTCAGAATATGCAACCAACAGCTTTCATCTAAGCTAATATTGGCACTGGCAAGCCCAGACACTTGCTACAAACAAAGCCTGGGAAGATAGCTTTGGGAAGAACACTGAAGATTCGAGAAAAAAAAAAAAAACCTCAATTCCAAAACTAGTGTTGTCATTGAATGCTAAGTAACTGACAAATTAAGTATTTCATTTCTCCCCTGACAAAAGAATATATCAAACTGGCTTAACATTGATTCTCTAAAGGCTTACATTTATATAACCATATATATCACTTACATCCAATTTGGGGAAATCTGTCAAAATCTGTGACAGTCTGTCATGGTAATTCTGTTGAGTATATTTGACTTTTCTCATATAAAAATGTCGAATTCGATGAATTTGATAATGTTTATGAATAACTGTTGGAGTCTTTCGTTGAGTCTTGGATAATGTCAGGTCAATAAAGTCCTATGATTAAAGAAAATAAGATACAATTCAAATATGTGCTTTCTATCCATTTGTTTATAACTGTCTTAATCCAGTACTACATGTGTAAACTACAAAATTTACTTTCCTAACTCATCTTTATAGTTTCTGGCCTTTAAGAAAACTTGCGGGGCTGGGGATTTAGCTCAGTGGTAGAACGCTTGCCTAGCAAGCGCAAGGCCCTGGGTTTGGTCCTCAGCTCCAGAAAAAAAAAAAAGACAAAAAAGAAAACTTGCTAGCCACCATCAAGAGCAAGAAGGCTGGGAGACTCTCCACATTCCTCAAGCATGCCTGAGTGAAAGGGCCAGTGCTGGTGGTGTCCACTGGTGTCAGAAGCCTTACTTTAATTACACCCTCACTCAGCCCCTATACCAAGTATGCCACCATGATTAACCAGGCCACACCTTACAACTACCCAGCAACTGTTCCAAAAAATGGAAACACTTGACATGCCCAGCCACCCCCAGGACCCTCACTTGGAATGGCTGAAAATCCTGTGAATAATCTCAACTGATGGAAGAGGCCCCGCCCCTGTTGCCACTCTAATAAAAATGGGGGGGGGGCAACTTGTTAAATGATTGTAAGATATATTTTACCCCGTGCTTTTTTAAAATGCTATTTTAATTTTCAAATTCCTACGAAAACTCAAAAATAAATCAGAAAAATTCTCCCCAAAAAAGAGCAAGTCTTTCAATTTTAAGGACTTTGTAGCTTTAATTTCAAGGGGATATAAAATGAAAAAAATTAAAACCCGTCATCTAAAATGTCCTATGTATATAAGGAAATTATTTGAGGAGTTGAGATTTTTGTATTTATTCCTCAGTAGGGGTAGGAGGAGACCCTGCTTTTCTATGCTTATGTCTCCCCAGTCACTCATATACCATATAAAGCTATTTTACTTTCCCTTGATCACTTCCATTAATTCAACAACATCAATTATTTCCTATAATAAAGGATAAAATGGATACAACGCTGAAGATAAAATCGTGAACAAAAACCAGGATCTAGTGATAGGGAAAAACCCACAAGCAAACAGGCAATCACAATGCAGTCTGTCAAGGATTATGAAGAACATGGATAACTGCCCCTCCTCTGCTCTGCTCCTTCCCATGGTCCTCACATCTTTAAGGAGACGGTTCAAAAGATGCCTACTGAAAAGCTTACCCAGAATGGCCCATTTATCACTATATTCTTACACTGTCCTAAATCTTTGGTACTTATGGGGAGTTTGTATTCAGGGATCCTCCCATTTCCAACAAAACAGATATTGAGTTCAATGTAGAAAATGGTACAGATCTTGTGTGGAAGAATCCACATACATCTGTCATATATTTTAAACAGCTGTAACTATACGTAGGAAATGTTTTTAAAAATCTGCAGGGGGGAGGAGAGAGGGAGAGAGAGAAAGAAAAAATAAAGGAAGGAAGAACAAAGTCTGTGTACATTAAATACAGATGCAACTTTCAAATAGTGTTTTTGATCTGCAGTTGTTTGAATGTGGATTTGGAACTCACAAACACAGAGGGCCAATTGTAATATGTCACACATTTCTCTATCATACTGTGTGTATAAATGTACTTATTTATTCCTTTAGAAAATGATTCTTGGCCAGGTGTGGTGGTGGCACACGCCTTTAATCCCAGCACTCGGGAGGCAGAGGCAGGCGGATCTCTGTGAATTCGAGGCCAGCCTGGTCTACAGAGCAAGATCCAGGAAAGGAGCAAAGCTACACAGAGAAACCCTGTCTTGAAAAACCAAAAAAAGAAAGAAAAAAAAAAAGAAAGAAAATGATGCTTAAGCATATTATTTTCTTACGCATATCTATATAGACAGTACCTAGCACATACTTTTACAAAAGTATCCCATACTCTTCAGATTGAATTTTTATTTCCAACCACCAAAGCATTACCATCACTCATTTTCTACAAATACACAAATTCATTTGCTTTCTAGAAACAGACCTCAGTCAGGGCAATAGAGAGACATGCTGTACTAACATGTTAAAAAAAAAAAATTCTTCACTCAGTTAATTATATTAACAAAGTTCATTTGATCCAATGAACTCTATTTCCAGTGAGACAAAAAGTGTACAAATTCCTTCAATATGCACTTGAGAGTTATTTAGGACAATCTTGAGGTCTAAAACACAAGATGTGATTCCTAAATACAGTTTCTTTCCAAATATTACAAACTAGTGAGAAAAGTACCAGAATGGTTATCAGAAAGAGGAAAGGAGAAATAACAGAGACATGTAAGGAAAAGAACTCTGTATGTCACTAGTGAAAAATATGTTTTTTTTTGTCTTTGAGATAAGGTTTCCCTAGATCTACCTGCCTCTACCTCCCTAGTGCTGGGATTAAAGGTATTCACCACCATGCCCACTAGAAAATACTAGCTCTTTACAGAAGTTTTCAAAACACTCTCATTCAGAAAGAGGAATACTGAAAATACCCACACTGCTGTAAATTTAACGATAGTGACAGCAGTTCCTTCTCTGAATTTATCCTGCAATTCAATGTCCAGGGCTTGCCAAAGAAACGCGTGTATCCCCGTAGGTTCTTTAGCCTAGCTAATACTCGACACTTTAGGAGATGTATCTTGCTACGTTTCACAAATCTGGCCTGGCTACATTTACCCTGGCATGCTTAAAACCAACTGCATTTCCCAGGTCCAACGACAAATGACAACTATCCACAAATTTTTAGACTGTGATGGTAATGAATGACGTTTTACTTAAAGAAGGAGATGCTCCGTTGAACTTAGAATCGACGCTCACCACTGAGCACCTCAGGCTTCCTGCCTTGCTCCTCAATGCGGCCACCACCCAGACAATTTGTCACATCGGCAGGCCATACAAGAATCACAGGCTCAGGAGGAGTCCTGGGGTCTAAGAGGAGGGACTCTAGGTTTGGAGGACCCACGGATACGAGGAGAGGGATTTGGATTCAGAGCCTGGGCCTGATCTCTGAGGATCCCGAAGACAAGCCTAGCAAGTGGAACCCGGCCGGGAGCCGAGTGGGTCTACCGTGTCCTCCCTCTCCTACTCGCGCGGATACAGGGCTGGACCTTCCATGGCGACTTGTCAGGGAAAAGGGAGATAAGCACGAACGACCTCTGTCACCCCTACCTTGGCAGACGGCACCACCGTAATCTTCTTGAAGTTGTAGTGCGCCATGCCGGCAGTGGAACGCACGAGGAAACCTGGAGACGCGGCGGACCGGACTTCCGTTGTCGGGGGTGGGCGGGATTTCCGCCATTCTGAGTGACAGAACTTTAGCCGCCGAGCTCAAGCGTTGCGTCACTTCCTGAATATGGGGGTGGGGCGGGCATTCGCCAAGGCGCGCTCCTAGTCCAGACAGCGCCCTCGCTCGGCCGGGAGGTTCACCGCCGAGAGATGACGAGCCCGGTGAGCCACGGAAGAGGTCGGAGGGATTTGAGTGATGGGGGAGTTAAATCCTAGCGGGGTGTGGGAGAGACTCCAGACTGGCCACCTTGGGGGTCTTTGGAAAGACTCCCTTCACTCTAAAGGCTGTTCGCCACCTCATGGGACGCCGCGGTCAGGGAGAGTGACAGAGTAGCGGGAAGACGCGGCGCTGGGCACCTTCATCGCTTGGTGTCCCCTCGGCAACACGTGCTGTCGCCTGGGTCTGTGGAAAGTTGACACGGGGCCTCTGTTGGTGGTAGAGACTGTATCTTTCCAGGTGTCCCGAGCTCCCTCTCCCGACCTTGCAGCCTCCATTTGGCCTGGGCAAGTGAAGAAACCCTGCCCAGCACTGCTACCCTGAACAAGATCAGGCTCAAGACAGAGACACAAAGTCCAACCCGAAGAGATCCACAGTAGATTGAAGCCAACCTTCTCTCCTTCGTTTTCACTGTCAGTGAAATTTAAGCCACCTATTTCTTTGGATCCTTGGGATCCCGTCTGGCTCAATCCATCTAACTCTTGCCCCCTGATTACCCTTAACTATATGACCCTTTCTCAGGTTATCGCCATCTCCTTCAAATCCTCCTGTCTGTTCCTATGACATCCTTCATTCTGGTATTTAATGTCTAGAATCCAGTCTTCTTTGCTAACTTATCTCCCTGCTGTTTCTCCCTAACCAGATACTCCTCAAGGTTCTTCCTCTTCGATGTCTCTTTTCCCTAATGGTGGCTTTACAGCCTCCATATGGACTACTTTGATGATACAGTTTCTTTCAGCCTTTTCAGCCTGGTTTCTTTTTCTATTCCAATCTGACATTTTTCAGTCAGAAGTGGAATTTCTACACTATGTGATTCCAGATATGTCAAATCAGGCATATCTGAAAATCAAAAACATTTACTTTCTGCTTGTCTAAGTTAAGTACAGCCCTCTGTGCTGTTAGAAAAAACAGCCTCACATCCTGACTCCCACCAGGGTCCAGAACAAGATTGAATACAGAGTCAAGAACAAGGCTGCCCAGGACTAAAAGACCTTGAAACAAGATAGTAGGTGAGGCCTCTGGGACAAAGGTGAGGTCATAAATCAGTGATCCCACTGATGATAAATCCTAGGAACAGGAGCAGAGAAGGAAAATTATGGGATAAGGCAAAAGAGCTGCAAGTTGTTCCTCCCATACAGTGGGTTAGCAGACTCTAGGATGCACCTGGGAGACCCAGCCCTCAGAGCCCAACTCAAGTAGGAGAAAGTGAGTAAGGGTGGAGACAAGCTGGACAGTTAATGTAATTTCCACTCTCTCAGGTTAACTCAGGAGTCCCATATGGTATTAAACTATACATAGGGCTGACTGTAAGTCAAGCACTGTTCAAAGTACTTGACCCCGAATTAACTCATTTAGCACCTACAAAAACCATATGATGTTGGAAACAAAAGCGGTGCAAGGCCAGAAGCCAGCATGTGGCTGCACAGCTCATAGGCAGCAGAGTAGACCTTGAATCTAAGCGGCTTGGCTCCTACAAAGCCTGCTTGAACATACTGCTTCTAAGTCATTGTGCATGCCCTCTCACTTTTCAAACCTTTTAACAAGTCCAGTTCTTCTGTGAAAATATCTCTCATACGTTCCCAAGATTCCAATATTAAAGACCAATTTGAAACTTGAGTTTTGCCATTTACTGTCTTAACATTACTGCCCATTTTTGTGTCAGCAAGTTAGATAACCGTGCTTCCTATGTCTTTGATAGTTCTAAAGGAAACCTCCTAGATCACTGGAAGTTACTGGCTGTAATCATGTACTACCCAGGAATGCCCTGTCCATCATATCTGAAATGAGCAAAGCTATCTCCCTATTGCCACCCCCTTTTTTCTTTTGTTTATTTGTTGTTTTCTCAAGACAGGGTTTCTCTATGTAACAGCCCTATCTTCTCTGGAACTGGATTTGGACACTAGGCTGGCCTCAAATGCACAGAGATCCCCCACCTCTGTCCTCTGGTGCTGGGATTAAAGGTGTGTGCCACAGCTGCCTAGTGCCCTATTACCCCTTTATTTAGGTCCTGTGTTTTTCCAAACTCTCAGGACCAGTTTCTTCTTTTTTGTTGTTGTTTAGTTGGTTGGTTGGTTGATATTTTCTTTTTTGAAATGAAGTCTTGCTCAGTAGCCCAGACTGGTCTGAGATGCTGGTTAGCCCAGGCATGTCTAGAACTCAGTATGTAGCCTAGGCTTCTCTGGAACTCAATATGTAGCCCAGGCTTGTCTGGAACTCACTGATAATAGTTCAGACTTGCCTGAAATTTGTGGTGTTTTTCCTGCCTCAGCCTCCTGAGTGATGAGTTTATAGGTATGAGATACCACACTTAGCTAAATTATTTTTTTTTTCTTTTGGAGTGCTGGAGATTGAACTCAGGCCTTCCATGTACTAGGCAAGCACTCTGCCACTGTGCTCTATCTACCCCCAGGCCTCTTTTTCTTTTACCATCATTTAGATAATACTTTATTTTCTTCTGATGGGAAGCCATCCTTTCTTCAGCACTAGTGTGAGGGAAGTAATTGAAAATTATCTTACTTTTATATGACCTTAATATTTACAGAGTCATTTGATTTTTAGTATTTAAAAAATTTCCAGCAATAGCCAGGCATGACGGCAACTGCCTTTAATCCCAACACTCAAGAGGCAGAGCCAAGTGGATCCCCTGAGTTCAAGGCCAGCCCGGTCTACAGATCAAGTTCCAGGACATCCAAGGCTACAACAGAGAAACCTGTCTTTAAAAAAAAAGAAAAGAAAAGAAAAAAGAAATGAAAGAACCTCAGTGACCTTCTGATCCGATTAGAAACTTCTTATCCAAGGTCACACAGATGTAAGTGGCAGACAGGACAGATCCGGTTGAGGCCTGCTGTACTTTCAACTATCTCATAAGCAGTCATTATATACATAACACACCTAAGGGACAGAAGTTTTTGCATAATATGAAATGTCAGTATATGTGATCGCCGAAATTTACTCAATATAGTTGACGTTTACTTTTCATTCAGAAAAGGAAACACTCATTAAAAGAAACAAGGCCCCTGCCTCATGAGTGCTGGCATTAAAGGCATCACCACCATGCCTGGCTAAAATTATATTTAAACAAATGCAGCAGAGTCAAAAGCTTTAAGTTAAGGCTTCAACTCCAGTTTACAAGCTGTGTGAGCCAGAACCTACCACTTAATTCCTTTGATCTCTAGTTTCCTCATTTGTAATATGGGGTGGGGAGGTGGGGGACAACTAATACCCACCCTCAAAGGATTACTGATGGTAGCTAAGAAATATGAACACAAAAGCAAAGCAAGAATTGAGGCACAATACAACCACTATTAGTCATAAATTTTAATTCTAAAATCCCTTTTTGTCATAATGTATTTAATGCCAAATTTATTTTAGGAACTCTTACTTCCTATGAATGCCAATAAAATAATCTCTTAAACTGCTTGTAAAATAGGGGGTGAATAAACCTTCCAGTCCTGTTTACTTTTAGTTACTTGGTTTTAGCTGAATTTAAGAAGTTGTATTTGAGAGCACTGTATTATTAGTCTCCCACTAGCTTTTCATTAGATAGCCCTTGGTGAGAATGGCCATGACAACAGTTGCTACCTAGGCTACTTTTTAGGGACTTGAAGACCACTTTCATTGAATTCAGTACCTTTTTTGGGGGGGGGAGGGGTTCGAGACAGGGTTTCTCTGTGTAGCCCTGGCTATCTTTGAACTCACTCTGTAGACCAGGCTGGCCTCGTACTCAGAGATTCACCTGCCTCTGCCTCCCAAGTGCTGGGATTAAAGGTGTGTACCAATCATTGCCCATCAAATTTAGTAACTTTTTTTTTTTCAGAGCTGAGGACCGAACCCAGGGCCTTGCACTTGCTAGGCAAGTGCTATACCAATGAGCTAAATCCCCAACCCCAAATTTAGTAATTCTTAACTTAGGCCTGCACAAGCATTCAGTGGTTGACTTTTTGAGGTTAGGAGGCCAAAACTCTACCCTTAGATCATGCTAACACTGTAATTTTCTGAATATGTGCCATAAAGATTAATTACACATGGTTGCTTTACCTCCAATCAACTTTTCCCATGCCTTAAATTATCCCCTTTATCCCACAAATATCAATAAACCCTATCCTCAGTTATGTAGATTTGAGACTTGGGTCTATCTTCTTAACCTTAGCATCTTAGAATGCTTGGGGAGGAAAATCCTCATCATTTCAGTTATTTCCATGCAGATCTGGTTCAATAACACAGTCATAAAAGAATCTGGATTATTTGTTAACTTCTAGGGATAAGAACTACCACAGGAAAAGAAGAAATAAAACATCTCTTTGTTTATCTGTGAATATCAAGTTGGAAAATAAGGTCTGGAAACTAAAGCATTTACCAGCAGCTGTAGCTGCTCTGAAATTGTTCACTTGTATAGGATGCCTATAAAGACACAACATCATGACCCATCGTGAGCTGGAGTTAGAATTGCAATGATGTAGTACCAAGCACCTAACACCACCTGCCTAATGCTGAGACTCACCATTCTCTCACTCCTCAGGTTTGCCTGCCTCAGTGCAGCTTCCTAAGGGCAAATGTGTGCCTCAGATGCTTTAGAGCATGTTTTATCATGTAACATACTAATTTTTTTATCTAGCTTATAGCATAGCACTGACTCCGCTTCTCCAGCAAAACCAAACTGTTGAAAGCCTTTTAAAAAGAACTGAGTGATTGCTCAGCTGTATTTACAGCAGCATTATTCATAATAGCCAGAACCTGCAAACAACTTAGATGCCCCTCAACCAAAGAATGGATAAAGAAAATGTGG